GCATGGGAAAAGGCTTTTCCCTGATGGCGACTTGGACTTCACCGGTCACGAAGGGACAATCCAGGTGGACTCTGGCGAGTGGATACGGAGTGGTAGCAGTGAGGTCAGTGATAAGGACGGTTTCTCCGGTGTAGGTGATGTTGGGCACAGCCGATTTCAATATAATGGACTGAAGAGCCGCTGTGTCCCTCAAGATCTTCAATTTGAAACGTCCCTCCGAATCTGTACCGTTGGTAGAGACAGTTCCAGGATACAGGCGTTTACTAAAGAGAGAAAGATCATTACCATGAACACCAACACATCACAGGCTTACCGGACTTAGGAGGAGTCTGTTTGGGTTTAGTAGATTCATTGATCTTGTATTGAGCCTTCACACATCTATGTATGGTATGTCCATAGAGTTTGCAATACTTACAATACAATTGTGAGCTCGCTTCATCTGTACTCACTTTATCGTAACTGTACCAAGACTTCTTACTGGGAGGTGGTGATGGTGTCAGCCGGTGGATGAGGCTGTAGGTGTCAGCCGACTTTGCACATTTGATGTAGTCGGTTTCTTCTTTTTCTGCTAGATATAAACGGACGGAAAGGGGGGACACGTCTCAAGAATTCTTCAACTAGCATGAGGTTGATGAGTTCTGCAAATGTAGAGACATGTGCTGCTTCCAGCCATTTCATGAAATATCTTTTCTTGGTATTGGCAGATTCTAGAAAGGTGGTGGTACTTGCCTTAAGATCACGGAATTTTCGTCTGTACCTTTCGGTGGAGAGAAGGTAGGCGTCCAAAACTGCTTGCTTCAGGGTCTGGTAGTCATTCTCAGACGCTAAGGTACTGAGAGTAACTGCAGCTCTACCTGTAAGATGCACTCTGAGAAGGGTGGACCATTGATCAAGAGGCCAGCTAAGTTGATTAGCTAGGGTCTCAAAGGTGGTAAAAAAGACATCAATCTCTGTCTCAACGAATGGTTGCATTAACTTACTTGCATGGGAGGCATTGAAACTTACTGGAAAACTGGCGGTAGCTTGCTGGCGTTGAGTGAGGTGTGTAGTCTCCAACATGAGTTCTTGTCGACGACATTCTATAACCATGTCCGCTTGTTGTTTATCATGCTCGCGTTGCATTTCCAGGTGACGTTTTGCTTCAAGCTGTACTCGCTCACGCTCACGGAGTATTGCAGTCTCACGTTCTTTTATTTGGAGAGCTTCTTTCGCCAGAGCAGCCTCTCTCTCTTGCTCTTCTTTCCTTATTGCAGCCTCTCTTTCTTGCTCTTCTTTCCTTATTGCAGCTTCTTCTTTCCTCAGGGTCGCCTCGCATTCTCTCATTTGGAGAGCTGCTTGCTGTTGCTCCCTCTCGAGCTTTGCGAGCTCGAGTTTGAGTTTTATAGCTGCCAGATTATGTTTATTTGCAATAGAATAAGTTTCGTGAGTTTCAGAGTCAATTTTCCCTTCATATAAGAGGTAATCCATAATTAACTTATGCAATTCATTTTTGTTGGTTCCATGGGGAACATCTAGTTGATACTCGTGTGCAAGAGTTTGTAATTCAGTCCTCTTGGCACGACACAAGGTCCCTATTTCACCTGCTGGATCGTTTCGAAAAGCTTGGAGACGAAACATTGTGAAAGATAGCAAATAAATGTACACGAATATAGTTGTGATATGGTAAATGTCAGAAACAGGATAACGTGGCAACTGGTAACTATCCTGTGGAATGTTAATCTTTAACAATTAAAGTTAATTATAGGATGGTAAATCATTAGTCAATCAAATCGCAGGAAATCTTGTACCCGGTACTCAATAAAAGAGAATAAGGGCAAGAAAATCCTACTAAATAAGTGAAACTGAGTTTCTAAAACAAATGAAACATTTAATTGCTCCAAAAGTGAATTAGGTAGTCCAAGAATGTAGGCATACATTGCCGAGTCTATAGGACATAAGCAAGGGTTTCCCACTAAATGAATATGATACTTACAGAATTAGCGAACTTTGTGCTCTGTAAAAAGAAAGCTAATTCCCTATCTAAGTAAATATCATCATCTCTGACCGACGTGTAGGGGTGCGAGTGTCAACTGGTCAACTGCTGCTGAGGTCCCAACTCAGCAACTTAGTCCGTGCTAGAGGAACTATGGCCCTCTTATCCTCCTTCGGTCGGATTGCAGAAGATAGGGTGCTTTGACCTGAAGACAAACCAAAGTACCAGGGTACCACAATGATGATCTGCCGATAATGTGAGAAATATCCTAGGGACAAAAGGTGGTAAACACGAGTAATAACACGGAGGGAGAGATGACCAATTAAGAGAATGACTGCGGCCTACAGTCACCACGTAATCCAAAGTTATCTCATACTCACCATATGCTACTCTCGGAATGCACAATACACACAGCACCATATAAATATGAAAATTAATGATAATATTGAAAAGCTACTTTAGCAAAGCGAAGTACCCTTACCACAAATTGACGTTCTGGTACTAGTACCAGAGTGAAGGTCCCGGACAGGCCCCTATTAAATGTGACGGGAAAGTGTTGGAGCATGGATGTTCGGCAGTCCTCCAATGGCAGGTGTCAATGCCTGGTCACACTTACAAAAAAAAAGATAGACTGCTTGCCTGTTGTCTGTGGTAAGTTAGAGGGAGGAATACGTAAAACACAAAATATGAACAATGAAACTTTAATATATTTACTTAAAACATAAATGAAAATAAAGACAAATCTCGGGGAATGAAAAGTACAATTAAATAACAAAGATAAATGTAAAGACAATGTGAGACACAATGGTATAAAGGTGAAATAGTAAAATGGTACTGAGAATATCGGCTATGGCTGAGACCTCCCTTCGTATACAAGCCAGTGAGCTTAGTATGCCAGAGAGAGGTGTCAACTCTAAGAGCACAAAGAATATTCTGAAGTTGATAGCTGGTCAGGGCTCCGACGTCGATTCAGGTGGATGGCGCGGAGGTGCAGTGTGCAGGTGCGCGGTCGGCGAGTCACCAATCAGGAGCAGGCAGGCTGGAATGAGTAGTTTGCTGGTTGACGACAAGCCGGCGTGGAGGGTGTGTGGAGTAGGGGGGATCTTGGGTACGTTTTGCCTCCTGGTCAAAACGTTTTGTGCTACAGGTGGAGGTATATTGAATGTAGCATCTTATGCTTGTTAACTGGACGTAACTTGAGGTAGGGAAGATCAAGGTATGGAGTTCACTTCAAGGTATGGAGTGCACTTCAGGTTCTAGAATGTAATTTAGGTCCTGGATTGTATACGTTAGGCCCGAAGTGTACTTCTGGTACTTTAGTGTTTTTTAGGGGTCTGGAGTGCATTACAGTTCCTGGAGTGTATTTCAGGGTCTTAGGTGTAATTCAGGGTCAGGAGTGAACTACAGGGTCTGGAGTGTTCTTCAGGGTGTTGAGTGTTTTTTCAGGGTCTGAAGTGTACTTTATAAAGTTTAAGTCCTAAAGTAAACTTTAGGACTTAAACTTAGTATTTAGAACTTGAGGACTTGAATGTTTGCCGAACTTGGCGAGTAATTCTGGGTTTGGAGTGTACTTCAGGAACTTGGAGTGCACTTCAGTGCTCTGAAGTTTATTTCACGTCCTGGAGTGTACATCAAGATCAAAGTGTATTTCACTTACTTAAGTGTACTTCAGGACCTATAGTGTACTTCAAGGCCTGGAGGGTACGTCGTGTTCAACAATGTGCTTCATATTCTGCAGTATACGCCATGGTCTGAAGTGTGCTTATGACCTGGAGTGTTCTTCACGGCCTGGAGCGTTCTTCAGGGCCTGGAGCGTTCTTCACGGCCTGGAGCGTTCTTCACGGCCTGGAGCGTTCTTCAGGGCCTGGAGCGTTCTTCACGGCCTGGAGCGTTCTTCACGGCCTGGAGCGTTCTTCAGGGCCTGGAGCGTTCTTCACGGCCTGGAGCGTTCTTCAGGGCCTGGAGCGTTCTTCACGGCCTGGAGCGTTCTTCAGGGCCTGGAGCGTTCTTCAGGGCCTGGAGCGTTCTTCAGGGCCTGGAGCGTTCTTCAGGGCCTGGAGCGTTCTTCAGGGCCTGGAGCGTTCTTCAGGGCCTGGAGCGTTCCTCAGGGCCTGGAGCGTTCTTCAGGGCCTGGAGCGTTCTTCAGGGCCTGGAGCGTTCATCAGGGCGTGGAGCGTTCTTCAGGGCCTGGAGCGTTCTTCAGGGCCTGGAGCGTTCTTCACGGCCTGGAGCGTTCTTCACGGCCTGGAGCGTTCTTCACGGCCTGGAGCGTTCTTCACGACCTGGAGCGTTCTTCAGGGCCTGGAGCGTTCTTCAGGGCCTGGAGCGTTCTTCAGGCCTGGAGCGTTCTTCAGGGCCTGGAGCGTTCTTCAGGGCCTGGAGCGTTCTTCAGGGCCTGGAGCGTTCTTCAGGGCCTGGAGCGTTCTTCAGGGCCTGGAGCGTTCTTCAGGGCCTGGAGCGTTCTTCAGGGCCTGGAGCGTTCTTCAGGGCCTGGAGCGTTCCTCAGGGTCTCTAGTGTAATTAAGAAGCTGGAGTGTTCTTCAGATTTTGGAGAATACTTCAGGTCCTGGAGTGCACTCCAGGATCTAGAGTGTATTTCAGGGACAGGAGTGTACTTCAAGGGCTGGAGTGTATTTCAAGGTCAGAAATGTACTGCAGGGCCTGGAGTGTACTTCTGGGATTGGAATGCATACTTGCGACATGAGTGTACTTCAGGGTCTGAAGTGTATATCAGGGTCTGGAGTGGAGTGTACTTGCGTGACTAGAATGTACGTCAGGGTGTGGAGCGTACTTCAGGGCCTGGAGTGCACAGTTTGGCCAGGAGTGTGCTTTATGAGGAGGTTAACTTGATAAAGACAATTCAGGGATATACAATTTGAAGTGTTTAAGGAGTGGCTGGACATTCAGCGGTGAGACCAGAAACAATATCAGGGATGATGGTATATCCTTCAATACTTAAATATTATATTTACATAATTTTTTATTTACATTTACCAAACTTATAGCTTAATATTTGATGTGTTGGCAGGTGTGAAGGAGAGGGAGAACGCCACCCGCCGCCTCCTGGACACACTGGACCAGCTGGAGTGCGTCAACAAGGCTCACCAAGCTGACAACCTCAAGCTGAAGGAGGAAAACACTCGCCTAAATACAGCGATCCATTTGCTCGAAGAGGACAACAGGAAGGCTAAGAACGAAGTGCTCCTTGCTCAGGAGGAAATTGTCCTATTAAAGTCCCAGATCCGCCAAGTGGAGGAGGACTCGAGGCTGGTCAAGGAGGAGATCCGTCAAGTGGAGGGGGACTCGAGGCTGGTCAAGGAAGATATCCGTCAAGCGGAGGAGGATAACATGAAGATTAAGAACGAAGTGCGTCTAGCTCAAGAAGAGATTGTCTTATTAAAGTCCCAAATCCGTCAAGTGGAGGAGGACTCGAGGCTGGTCAAGGAGGAGATCCGTCACGTGGAGGAGGACTCGAGGCTGGTCAAAGAAGAAAACAGAAAGATTAAGAACGATGTTCGCTTATCAGAGGAGGCGAATCGTCGTCTAATGGCTGACATCAATCAAGTGGAGGAGGACTCGAGGCTGGTCAAGACGAGGAACCGACAGCTGGAGCATGCGGAGACCCAAACTCAGGAGAGGATCAAGACGGCGTTGACGAGGATCGCTGAGCTAGAGCGAGAGACACAACAGTTGCAAGAGATGACTAATAACACAGCAGGAGAGAAAAGACTTGTTGAAGAGCAACTATCCGTCATTAAAGAAGAGGCCAGTAAGTTACTGGTAGGAAACTCGGCTCTACTGAGTGAAAAAGACAGACAGGCACAGCATCTCAGAAGTATTCAAGAGGAAAAGAACAAAATTGCAGAAACGAATCGCCGGATGGAAGAGGAACACGAGAAGTGCAAGAGGAATATCAGTGAGCTGTCCACAAGGTAAACTGTGCTACATCACTTCTGACCTTTAACTCTCCTTCCACCTTCCTGCTTATTTTGCCTTACCTCTGAGGAAGTTATGTGTGTATGAATTTGTGTATGAAAACCAGACCATGATAGACACACTAAATAATAAATGCAAAATGAGAAATTGACAGAGACAGAGAGACGTTCAGAGAGAGAGAGAGAGGCCCGTTGAGGAACCGGGTCGACCAGGACAAAGAGAGAGAGACAGGAAGACAATAAGAAAAATAGACGCAGGCAGAGAACAACAACAGAAACGGAAAAAGGCAGACAGATAGAGATAGAGATATGGGGGAAAAGGATGAATGGGGGAGAGGAGAATTTTTAAGAGAGGGTGGGAGAAGAAGGATGATTGACGAGAGGAAAGGAGATAGGGGGGAAGACTGTCACCCTCTGTTGCTAGAGCTGAGCTCGTACTTTCGTCACCGTAAAAATTTATCACCAAGCCTGTAACACTTATATCCTATCTAGGGTGTATTTAAATGTAAACACTGTGTTAGATGAAAGTACCAGTTTACTCTAGAGAAAGGGACACAGTAGTCATCCATGAGTCTCATGAGACTATGGAGTTACGCTATGGTTGTCGGTCTGGAGTGGCCTATCCAGGGCACAAAGCCAGGGCGGCTTTGTGCCGGGCTGGCGCCAAAAGGTGCCAGAAATACACGGCGCCAAAAATCTCCAATGGAAAAGCAAATGCCAATATGATTAGTTCCTGCGCCGTCGTAGGAACTGTCATAACGAGGCTGAAGGCAACAACGAACTGCCCAAGGGACTCTAGCTCCAGAGATTATCTTGAAGTTGGCAAAAGAAGACACAGCGACCTGGAGACTATCATGGTCAGGGCCGGAGAAGAACAACCCCAGCAAGGGCAAGAACTACGCTAGCCTCCTGAAGAGGGGGTGAGAAGGAAGAAGGAGAGAAGAGGGTGAGAAGAGAAGGAGAAAGAGAGAGAGAGAGAGAGAGAGAGAGAGAGAGAGAGAGAGAGAGAGAGAGAGAGAGAGAGAGAGAGAGAGAGAGAGAGAGAGAGAGAGAGAGAGAGAGAGAGCAGAGACAGAGAGAGAGAGAGAGAGAGAGAGAGAGAGAGAGAGAGAGAGAGAGAGAGAGAGAGAGAGAGAGAGAGAGAGAGAGAGAGAGAGAGAGAGAGAGAGAGAGAGAGAGAGAGAGAGAGAGAGAGAGAGAGAGAGAGAGAGAGAGAGAGAGAGAGAGAGAGGGAGAGAGAGAGAGAGAGAGAGAGAGATAGAGAGAGAGAGAGAGAGAGAGAGAGAGAGAGAGAGAGAGAGAGAGAGAGAGAGAGAGAGAGGAGAGAGAGAGAGAGAGGGAGACAGAGAAAAAGAGGAGAGAGGGAGAGGAGAGAGGGAGAGGAGGGAGCGAGAGAGAGAGGGGAGAGAGGGAGAGAGGGAGAGAGGAGAGAGAGAGAGAGAGAGAGAGGAGAGAGAGAGAGAGAGAGAGAGAGAGAGAGCGAGAGGAGAGAGAGAGAGAGAGAGAGAGAGAGAGAGGAGAGAGAGAGGGAGAGGGAGAGAGAGAGAGAGGAAGAGAGGAGAGAGAGAGAGGAGTGTGAGAGAGAGAGTAGG